CTAAGCGGAACGTTTAGTTTATAAAAAGTATATTTCTACGTGACTTACATTCAATAAGGCCTTCTTTACATTACCTTTGCGGTAACATATGCAGACACTTTGTTATGCGTAAGTAGAGCGGTTCGGTAAAACAAAATTCCAAAGAAAAGGTTTTTGTTACTGCATTTTTGTGCAAAAAAACTTCACAGCTTAGCTAAAGCTAATTTTTAAAGCTTAAACTGCTACTTGTTTCTGAAAATGAATTCGATTCCTTAAACTTGGCTTCACTTCAGTTTGAGCAACTTCGTACAAAATTTCCCAGTTCTGGAAGGAATAATTTTTCCACTTTTTTTCTACTTATCCTGGAATTCCCCCATAACACAATGCATATTAATAAAACGTTTGGTTCTGCTGTTCCTTATAGCACAGGATTTAGCCAAAATGATTTAGCCAAAATTAGTGCCTATTTCGCTCCACAACTTTTACTAAGAGGGCAGTTTTCCAAACTAAAGCCTTTGCAATGATTAAATTTAGTCATTTGATCAAAATAACCTGGCAAAATATATGCTAAGTACCAAATTAAATTTTGTCATTAAAATTTCTTGCAGCACTCGCAATGCTATACTTGTGTGCTTCTCAAGACCACTTTAGGCTGTTAACCTATCTTCGACCGTGGCTCAATGCGAGTCTTTTCTGCAGCAGGATTCCATGTAAAGTAAGTTTCCTCTGATCCCAACTGCAGCTGCCTGTAGTGCCCCATCTTGGGAAGAAGTTAGAATCCACTTGGCAGAGGTTTGTTCCCTGACTAAAATTCTGTAGAACAGTCTGCCTGGCGACTAGGTTGGCACTGACGTTCACATCTTCTCACTTTGTCTGTGGCTCGGTGGACATTTAATTGCGGTAGTAACCCGTTTGTTGGTCATGCCAGTTTTAGATGACCTAGCTTTTCCCATGAAATTATGAACAAAATGCCATCATTTGGTACTCTTGCCACCTTTCTTCCTTCACTTCCCTCTTCCGACTGGTGCTTTACCTTCTTACCTTTCATGACGGCAAAACCAGCTGGCAGTGGGAGCCGCATTCGCAGCAAAATGTTCACCTTTGTCAACATCTCTCATCATCCATTTATCATTTGCGCTAGTTCCTAGCGCTGCTGTCAGCGTATCTTCTTCAAAATGATACAGGAAATTCCTGTTTCGTGCCTTCAGTTCATTTCCTTTTAAAAGTGACTGAGCTGCTGAGTTTTCCACCACCCTTGCCCCTTGTTGCGTCGACGTGCGATCATGGCCAAAATAGGACATCGGGATTCAGGAGACGGGAAGAGTTAATGATAGCCGCCTTAAAGACGCAACGGATATATTTTACGAACCATTATCTTTTCTTGAAAGGCTGAGAGTTGTTGTTGTTGTTGTACTAGCTTACTCCCTTAATCTAGTTTGCCAGCAATACA